TAAGCTGGTGTCCCTGCCAGCCTGCAACCAGCCCCCCCCCCCCCCCCCCCCCCCCCCCCCCCCCGCTGGCCACAGCCATGGAGGGGTGGGGCCAGCCCAAGGCCAACACAGGGAACGGGAACAGACGCAGGCCGCACCCACAAGACTGTGCTGTGTTTATCATCTCACAGGCCCCAGTCATCAGCGGGCACTCCCAAAAAACGGGAGGTCTCCTTGCCAGCTGGGCTCAGAGCCTCCTGGGGCCTCTGGACCCTGCTGACTCCTGGATCACCCCAAGGGGGAAGAGGGAGGAGTCAGGCAGGGGTGGGGCCCGCACTGAGTCACCCTGGGTGAAGCTGTGCAGAGCCACAGACCAGCTCTGGGGGAGAGGGGCACCCAAGGGGGCCCGGGATGGGGCTAGGGGCCCAGCAGAGGACCAAAACCACTCACCGAGCCGCTACAGTATTTGTCTCTTGCTGAAGGTGGATAAGAGTCCAGCCTTAGCTCTGCTTCCAACTTGCTGGGGTCCAGGTGGGGGAGTGGGCAGTGCTGGGGCTATTTATCCCATTTCCTCCTAGAGACAGTGACCAGGAAGTAGAGCAGACTTGCTCCCATCCGTCCTCCTCCCTCCACTGAACCCAGCCTCCTCCAGGCCTTATCTGTCCCTCCACGTTTAAGTGATTCATGCCTGGTCCTCTTCATTGTAAGAAAACAAGCAGTGAGCCAGCAAGAAGTCTAGAAGGATCCTTGGCCAACAGGTGACCAGGAGTTCTGAGTGTGGCTGGAGGGAGAGGGTCACTTCTTAAAGTGCATTCAAGCACTGCTTGCAAAAGTGAAGAGCGCCAGGGCGGATGACCTGTGGTCCTAGCCACTTGGGAGGCTGGGAATGGAGGACTGCAACTCAAGGCCAGCCCCAGGGAAGAAAACTCGATAGCGGTGTCCTCTCACCCCACAGCGGGGTGCAGAAGATGCGGGTCCTCCCTCCTGGGGGAGGAGGGCGGTGCCAGGCGCCAGGCCGGCGGGCGGGAGAACTCCAAGGGGCACCCGGGCCTGGACCGCAGGGGCAGCGGAGACCCGGGTCTGGGCGGGAATTAAAGTCCCGTGTCTAAAAATAGCCGGTGAGGAACAGGGCTGGAGGTGGGGCTCAGAGGCCGTGAGTTCAAATCCCAGCTCCCTGAGGGGAGCAGGGGCAACGGGCTCGCTGCCGGCCCGACCCCCGCCCCGCGGGGCGGCCCAGGGTCCCCGGGAGGAGGACGACCGGGCGCGGTGCAGTCGGGGCCGGGGCCACCTGCGGACACCGCGGGACCCCGGCCTGGAGGAAGCAGGCTCCGGGATCGGACCACGGGGCGCGCGAACCCTGGACCCCGAGGTCCCTTGGCAGAGCCTCAGTTTCCCCGCCTCCCCGTTCCCAGCGAGTCTCCAGCAGCGGGGAGCGGAGGGGCCGCTCGCCTCCCCGGGCTGCGCAGCGGCCGCGGGGCCGGGCGAAGCCCCGCCTCCTGCCGTCCCGCCCCCGGGGACCCGAGCCGCACCGAGCCGCCCCGGCCCGACGTGGCCCCGGTCCCGATCGATCGATCGAACGCTCCGGGTCCGCGCAGGAGCCCCGCCCGCAGGCGCCCAGGCCCCGGCCCACGTGCTGCCCGGCGTGAGCCCGTGACGCGGGCCTCAGCTGCCCCTCTGGCCCCGCGCGCAAGGGCGGGCGCGGTCGGGACCGCACCGGTGGGCGCCCTGCCCGCGCCCCCGGCCCCCACCGCAGCGCCCCACTCACCGCGGCCCAGGCTCGACTCGATCCCGGAAGGTCACCGCGCGGAGAGGTGGTGGCTGGCCTCGCCCCGCCCCGCCCTGCAAGCCCCGCCCATAGCCCTGCCCGACCACGCCCCTCTGGGGCCGCTCCTCCGGACGCGCCCGGCCCCTGTAAGCCACGCCTCCTGGGGACCCGCCCGTCCGGCCACGCCCCCTGAGCGCCTGGCGCCGCACGGGCGGGAGCTGGAGCCGTGACTCACGGCTGGAATGAAGCGGTCGAGAGCTTGTAGTCCGGAGTTCAAACGCCAGCCTCGGCGTGCGTGCACGCGCGCGCGCACACACGCACACACACCAGTTCACTTAGCTACTTGGCATTGGACTTCCGGGTCCACTAGCGCCAATCTCCTCGTACTGGTCCGTGCGTCTGTAGTCGCAGATTGGGAGACACGCCCTTCTCGTAGGGAAGAGGCTCAGGCCGCCGGCCACCTCCACCCCGGGCAGCCCGGCCAGCCCGGCCGCGCCTCACGAGCTGTCTGGGCGCTGGGCACCTTCCTTTGCAGAGCGTAGTTTGGCCTTATGGCTCTGGGGGCTCCTGTGTGCCACCCCCACCTCACGATGCTCTCGCCCCGGTCTCCATGTTCCTCCGCGCTGCTGTGTGCACCCCCTTAGGTTTGGCTCCTCCGCTCTGCTGTGTGCGCCCCCTTAGGTTTTGAAGGCTCCCCCGCCCCACAAAAAAGTCTGGAAATGTCACCCCCACGTGTGCTAGGGAGAGACGGGCCCAGGTGCGGCCTTGAGAGCGCAGCTCGGTCAGGAGGGCTCTCAGAGACCGAGGAAGCCACTCCCGCCGTGTACAGCAAGGCTTTGTCTGTCCAGCGAGTCTATTATAAACGTCAGCTCCATTCCGCCTCTCAAATGTGGCCGACTTGCAGAATCCCCACCAACAGCTCCCTAGCTTGGACTTCCCAATCTCTAAAACCGTGCAGTTGAGGCTGGGAAGGTGGCTCAGTGGTAGAGTGCTTGCCTTGCATACATGAGGCCCTGGGTTCGATTCCTCAGCACCACGTAAGCAAAAAAAAAAAAAAGCCAGAAGTGGACTGTGACTCAAGTGGTAGAGCGCTAGCCTTGAGCTGAAGAGCTGAGAGGCAGCGCCCAGACCCCCAAAAAAAAGTCCCTTTAAAGGGCTGGGAAAGTGGCTCAATGGTAGAGCGCTTGCCTTGCATGCATGAGGCCCTGGGTTCGATTCCTCAGCACCACATAAGCAAAAAGAATAAAAGCTGGAAGTGGCGCTGTGGCTCAAGTGGTAGAGAGCTAGCCTTGAGCTGATGAGCTGAGGGACAGCGCCCAGGCCCAGAGTTCAAGCCCCATGACTGGACCAAAAACAAAAAAAAGAAAAAAGAAATAGCTTCCCAAGCCAAGCACCGATGGTTCACACCTGTAATCCTAGCTACTCAGGAGGCTGAGATTTGAGAACCATGGTTCAAAGCCAAGCCCAAGCAGAATAAATCTTCATGAGGCTTTTATCTCCAATAATTACTGAAAAAAGCTAGAAGTGGTGCTGTGGTTCAAGTGGTAGAGTGCTAGTCTTGAGCACAAAGAGGCTTAGGGGACAGTACCCAGGCTCTGAATTCAAGCCCCAGACCAGGAGAAAGAGAGGGGAAGAGAGCGAAAGGAAGGGGGGGGGCAGACCCATGAAGGTGAGCTGTGGTCCAGTGATTGCGGCCCACTCAGGTTGCTGAGTGGATGAACTCATCCTGTTGCAGTGGCCTTGGCTGCAGCCTGTTTCCTTCATCTGGAAAGAATGTAAGAGCTGGCCTCCAAGCCAGGTGCTGGTAGCTTACACCTTTAATCTTAGCTACTCAGGAAACTGAGATCTGAGAATAACAGCTTGAAGCCAGCCCAGGCAGGGAAGTCTGTGAGATTCTATCTCCAATTTACCAGCAAGAATGAAAAAGCCACAAGGCCTTACGCTCTGGAAAGGCCTGGTCTTTCTATCTGATTACTGCAATGATTTCCTTCCCTCTATTTTCTCACTTCTCTTTCTGGAACTCCTGTTACTCAGGGTGCTGGACTTCCTGGACAGGTCATCCACTTCCTAGGCTGGTCTTCCTTCTTCGAGTGTGTGTGTGTGTGTGTGTGTGTGTGTGTGTGTGTGTGTATTACTTTTTGCTTTTCCAGGTGCCATTTGCTATGGACTGAAGTGTGAATTCCCTCAAAATCCCTATGGCAAAGCCTAACCTCAGTGTGATGATTTTGAGATGCTTATGGCTGGGACATGGTCACAAAGGCAGAGCTCTCAACAATGGGGTGGATACTTATAAAAAGGAGAGGCCAGGTGCTGGTGGCTCATGCCTGTAATCTGAGCTACTCAGGAGGCTGAGATCTGAGGATCCCAGTTCAAAGCCAGCTCAGGCAGGAAAGTCAGTGAGACTCATCTCCAAGTAACTACCAGAAAAACCAGAAGTGGCACTGTGGCTCCAAGTTCTAGCCTGTGTGAGAAAGCTCAGGGACAGTGCCCAGAACCTAAGTTCAAGCTCCATGACAGAGGGGTGGGGAACAGAGGGAGGGAGGGAGGGAGGGATGGGGAGAGAGAGAGAGAGAGAGAGCCCTCCTGTCCACCATGTAAAGATACAAAGAGGCTCTCATCAGACTTTGGATGGGCAGAAATCAATGTCTGTTTCTTATATCCCTAGTCTATACTTATGACAACTAGAATAAACTGAGGTAAGATGATAGGGTAAATTATACCTAAATCTTATGTAGCTGAATCTAGTGCATGTAACATGCATGGGTTTTCAGACCTGACCCTCCTGAGTAGCACGTGCCTAACTGGTACAAAACATAGCAGAGAGATGCGATCTTATAGCTTAGTATCATTGTCAGGCTTACAAACAAGAAAGAATGAAGAAGCCTCCAAGTTCTCTTCACATTCTAGGTATAAAGAGCAAATATTAGATCACCTTGCATTATTTAGTCTATAAATATGTATTGCGGGATCGTTGAAAATTTATCCCGCTCGCTCTGGAGGCTGGAAATCCTCAGATCGGGGGTCTCGTTGTGTCTGGGGGAATGGGTCAAGCGCACGTGTCAGGCCAGGCCAGGCCCTGAGCAGGGAGCCCGCTGACCGCACCAAGCTGGGGCGGAACCAGGGACGGGCGGAACCTTCCTTCCCAACCCCGTGTGTTCCCGGAGCCCGGCGGGAGACGCGCGAAGGGCCGTGCCGCACCGCGCAGCCGCAGTCGGGTCTCGGTAGCCACAGCAACGAGCGTGTGCCGTGTCTCGCCATGGGCGCGCGCGTTGCGCGGGGAGCGTGGGCCCTCAGCCGGGCCGCGGGCGGCTGCCGGGCGGCCTCGAGCTTCCAGGCGCCTCCGCCGGGCGCCGTGGACGTGGCGGAGCTGCTGCGGGAGGCGGCGGGGGGCGAGGCCCGGGCGAAGGCGGCGCGGCGGCCGCCGGACCGGTGCTCCGTGCTGCTCTTCCCCGGGCAGGGCAGCCAGGCGGTGGGCATGGGCCGCGGCCTGCTCGGGTACCCGCGCGTCCGCGAGCTCTACGCGGCCGCCAGCCGCGTGCTGGGCTACGACCTGCTGGAGCTGAGCCTGCACGGCCCGCAGGAGGACCTGGACCGCACCGTGCACTGCCAGCCCGCCGTCTTCGTGGCCTCGCTGGCTGCCGTCGAGAAGCTCCATCACCTGAAGCCCCAGGTGAGGCCCGCGGCCACGGGGCCGGCCGGGCAGCGTGGGCTCCCCCCTGCCAGGCGCCAGGGCGCCCTCCTCAGAGATCCGTACATGGGTTGAAAGCCGGTACCACACCTGTGGTCCCAGTACCCAGGATGCAGGGACCAGAGGATCACGGTCCGAGCCAGCCCAGGCGGGAAAGGCCGTGAGACTCTCGTCTCCCGTTAGCTGCTAAAAAAAAAAAAGCCTGAAGTGGTGCTGTGGTTCAAGTGGTAGAGCGCTAGCCTTGAGCAAAAAGCAGCACCCAGGCCCTTGAGCTCAAGTCCCAGGACTGGAGCACGGACACATACACACACATACACACAGTATTTTGGGGGAGAAACTAGATTTCTTAGACTACACACACACACACACACACACAGTATTTTGGGGGAGAAACTAGATTTCTTAGACTACACACACACAGTATTTTGGGGGAGAAACTAGATTTCTTAGACTAGTTCCCTAATATGTGTACCAGTACTAGGGCTTGAATTCAGGACTTGGGCACTGACCTTGAGCTTTTCCGCTCAAGACTGGCCGGCACTCTCCCTTGAGCCATAGCTCCACTTCCGGCTTTTTGCTTTTAATTGGAGATAAGAGTCTGTCTGGTGGACTTTCCTGGTCTCATGTCCAATGCAAGAAGAATTGTGACTGTAATGTTTAACAAAGCACTCAGTACAGAGCTGGGTCCAGGGTAAGCACTGACCAGGGATATTTCTCAGGGTCAGACTCTGGTTGTCAGTGCTTCCTCTGTGTCTCTCCTAGCTGGGGCGCCAGCCAGTGGGACTTGGTTCACAGCGATGCTGAACACCTTACCAGCTTCCAGACCAGCCCAAGCACATGAGCTTCCCCAGATAATGTGGCATCATGTGTGCATCTGTCACCGCAGGTCATTGAGAACTGCGTTGCGGCTGCTGGATTCAGTGTGGGGGAATTTGCAGCCCTTGTGTTTGCTGGAGCCATGGAATTTTCTGAAGGTAGGGTGTGTTTGTTTTTAGAGGTGTGGTGTTGCTGGACTCATTGGGAACAGGGACCCTTCTCAACAATGAAAATGGACCCCCTGGGGTGTCAGGCAATGACATTGGATCTCAGGGACAAGATTGTACCATGATACCTTTGAAGACTGAAAGATTCAATAGGAATCTCTTTGGGAACGTAGTGAAATCTGCTTGCTTAACTGTCTCCACCACCCTGTGCATTCTGCCATTCAGCCCCCTCTTGACCGTCACACTTGGTAAGGGCTTAATTGGTGCTCACTAAATTAAAAATAGTAATCAACATTGGATCAGCACTCCAAAGACATTGAGTATGCATATATATTTTTTGGGGGAGTGGGAAGTCAGTTGTGGGACTTGAACTCAGGGCCTAGATGCTGTCCTTGAGCTTTTGTGCTCAAGGCTAGTGCTCTACAGCCACAGCCCCACTTCTCGTTTTATGGTGGATAATTGGCGATAAAAGTCTCACAGACTTTCCTGCCCATGCAGTCTTGAAACCACAATCCTCCTCAGATCTCAGCCTTCTGAATGGCTAGGATTATATGTGTGAACCACCAGCACCTGCCTCAGCAAGCAAATGTTCTGATCTGAGGATTGGGGTTAAAATTATCAGCCCAGACAGACAAATCTGTGAAACTCTTTATCTCCAATTAACCAGCAAAAAGCTGGGCTGGAGGTGCAGCTCCAGTGGTAGAGCACCAGTTGAGCACAAGCAAGCAAAGTGAGAGTGTGAGACCTAAGTTCAAGTCCCAGTATTGGTACACTAAAAATGCCTAATTATATTTTTTATGAATTACACTCCCATTTTAAAAAATGCATTATAGCTCTCTGAAGGAAATGAAAAGGGGAAAGTCTGTTTTCCTCTTCTAGTAATCTATTACCTATACAGTTTAATGTGTATGCAGTTTACATGTATTTAGTGTTGCACTGACTTCTCTGGCTTGGTATCTGTCAAGGTCATCGCTTTAGCTTTAGCTGACACGAAATTTCCCCTCACTCCCTCCACTTTCCTGGAGTCGCCTGTTTTCAGCTCTGACTCTTGTCCTACATGTTCCCTAGTGGCCAGGATGAAAAAGTCCTGCGCAAATGGGCGCAGTGCTGAGTGGATGGGGCGTGGCACAGGGAAAGGGTACCGTACTTGCCCGGGGACCCTCCCTGCCACCCATCAAGCCCTAGCCAGGTGGCTCCCCCACAGCGGCAGGTCACAGTCCCGCCCAGGACTTGAGGTTGTCAATCACAGCCAATCCAGTCACCTTTGGGTGCCCGGTGCTCAGTTGCATGGGAGCGGTCGCCCTTGCTTCGCTGGCTAGGCTGTACTGAAATCACCTGTGTGACAGCTTGTACACAGCCGTCCCGTTTTTCCTCTTCAGTGTGATTTAAGTAGTAATCGTTTTCTGTTTCCACGACAATCCAGGCGGATAGGATGCTTGACAGAAAATCTAACCCAGGAGGTTGCTACTTCCTGGGAAGGCATGGCTGGGGTCTGGTCCCGTCTGCCCCTCGTGCTTCTCGCAGCAGCACTGTTGAGACTGGGATCTTTGTCTTGGGACAGGGGTCTTGTGATGGTAGATGTTCTTTGCAGCAGCTTCTCTGCTCTATCGCTCACATGCTAGGAGAATCTTCCTCCAGGTGTGACGGGCAGAGAGCACCACCAGACGCTTTCCTGGAGCAGTCCCACCCATGGCACCAGATGGTCTCTGGCAGGATAGGGGGTGCCAGGTCAGCCCCCGATTCCTGGGAGTGACAGCCCCGTGTGGCTGATGTGGGAGGCAGAACCGCGGCGCCGATCATGTTTGCAGCCAGAATGGAGCTTCTACCTCCCGACTTTCCCATGTGCTTCTGTCTGGCCAGGTCTGTATGCTGTGAAGGTCCGAGCCGAGGCCATGCAGGAAGCTTCGGAAGCCGTCCCCAGTGGGATGCTGTCAGTCCTTGGCCAGCCTCAGTCCAAGTTCGCCTTTGCCTGTTTGGAAGCCCGGGAGCACTGCAAGTCTTTGGGCATAGAGGACCCTGTGTGTGAGGTCTCCAACTTCCTCTTTCCTGACTGCAGGGTGATCTCTGGACACCTAGAGGTGCGTGGCACACAGGGCCTCCTAGGCCAGTCCACTGGTGGGAGGGGGATGCCCTGCCTGGCATGCTTCAAGAGGAGTGCCTGCCTAGCAAGCACACGCCAGTACTGCCCCACACAGCAAGGGAAGAAAGAAAGGAGGATAATACTTCCTGGATTGACCATCTCTGCAAACACTGTTTGCAGTGTTAGCAGGTGGCCTGTTGGGTCCCTGGTGGCCCTCAGGTGAGAGGACTCTTCTCTGTGAAGCCGGAGGAGGGCGCCAGCACCCAGGCTGCCAGCTCAAGAACTCCGTGGAGTGGGACTGGGTTTTTCTTCTGACTTATCTTAAAGGTGATGGAGTGACAAGCAGGCTTGGTCCAGCACTTGGGAGGCTAAGCCAAAGTAACTGTGGGTTCAAGGCCAGTTTGGGCTACATAGTAAGTCTTTTAAAAAATATTTTAAGCCAGCTTGATAACTACAGAGAACAGGATTCTCATTGGGGCCACACCCGCTTGAGGTGACTGTCAGAGGTTGTCACGGACCTCACCTGGCATCACAACCCAGCCGCTCTGTGGACTGGCTGAAGTTGTAGCCCATTCTGAGATGAGGAAGTAGTTCAGAGGTGTGAATGGCTGAGGGCCAGGACAGACCATGTATGCACATGCGTAGTGACCAAGGCTGGGACAGGCCACGTGTCCACAGGTGTCCATGTGAACAGCGTTCTCATGTCTACTGTGGTCACATCAGTGGGGGCATGTGAAAGGCCAGCTCCCCGGAGGACTGCAGGGATGCTGCAGTTCAGTGGGAACCAGAACCTGAATTAAAGGCCAGGCTGTGGCTCGGGTGGAGCGCTTGCCTGGCAAGCACAAGGCCCCAGGTTCAAACTCTAGGCCCACTAAAAAGATGTGAACTGAGGTTATCACTCAAGGACTCACAGGATCAGGATGTGCAGGCATGCATCTGTGTGTGTGCGTGCATGTGTGTAGAGATGCATCATGTGGAGCACAGCAGCAGCGCGTGGCTAGCAGCAGCACACTGCCCTGTGCAGCCTCAGGTCTGCTGTCTGGATGCCAAGGACTTGCTGTTCACCCGTGTCATTCTTCCCTTGATGGTGCCCGCCTTAAGCCACCTTCCTTCCCCCAGGCTCTTCAGTTTCTCCGGAAGAACTCCTCTAAGTATCACTTCCGGCGCACCAAGATGCTGCCAGTGAGTGGTGCCTTCCACACGCGCCTCATGGAGCCCGCCGTGGAGCCCCTGGCCCGAGTTCTGAAGACCATCGACATGAAGAAGCCTCTGGTGGCTGTGTACTCCAATGTCAGCGGGAACCGGTACACGCACCCCACGCACATCCGGAAGCTGCTGGGCAAGCAGGTGGTGTCCCCGGTGAAGTGGGAACAGACCATGCACGCCGTTTACCAGAGGAAGAAGGGCGCCGCGTTCCCCAGCACGTTCGAGGTGGGCCCCGGGACGCAGCTGGGGAGCATCCTGAGGAGCTGCAACATGCAGGCCTGGAGGTCATACAGCCACGTGGATGTGATGGAGGGCAGCCAGGACCCGGAGCCCGGCACCTCCGAGGCTCTGCACTGACCCATCTGCAGGCTGGCTGAAGATGAGACAGGCTGTGGGAGACGCAGGGTGCAGCCACAGAACAGTGCCAGGGATGATGTCTCAGGTGACCTGGCCCAGCCCCCCTGGAAAACGTCCAGGTGCTGCTGGGGATGTGCTTCACCCTGCCTGCCCACCTGCCTTGGGCTGCACCACTCCTGGCAGTGGATCTGAAGGGCTGGCCCCGCGCAGCTGCCTGTGTGCCCTGGGCATGCTGCACCAGAGGGACACCACTGCCCCTCCGCCTGCAGGCTGCCCAGGTCCAGGGCTCCTGTGTCCTGCATCTAAAGGTGTTAGGAGACGGGCATCAGTGGCTCATGCCTGAATCCTAACAATCAGAAGGCTGAAATCTGAGGATCATGGTTCAAAGCCAACCTGGGAACGTTCAAGAAACTCTTACCTCCAGTTAACCACCAAGAAGCCAGAAGTGGGGCTGTGGCTCAAAGAGGTAGAGTGCTAACCTTGAGCAAAAGAGCTCAGGGACTGTGCCCAGGCCCTGAGTTCCAGCCCCACAACCCACAAAAATAAAAAGTACAAACAGATAAAAGGTGTTAGGTCTCAGTGGCTTCGCAGCCATTCTGCCTCCCTTACTCAGCAGCTGGGGGCGGAGTCTCCTGATCCTTACACTCCCACGAAGCACCTCTTCTACCTCTTCAGGCCTGCTGTGAACCCCAGAGGATATGTGCATGCCTGGGCAAAGGTGACACCGCATACCTGGCCCCAGGCCAGTGCCAGGCTCCCCTTGGAGAAGCGTCTCCAAGTCATCCACAGGGCACCGTCCTGCTCTGCGGGCACCTGCAGCTGGGCAGGGCACAGGCCTCCCTCGGAGCTCCAGTGTGCTCAGCCTTCCTCCGCACAGATTAAATAGGAGTCAGTGGAAGCTGTGGGCCATTTCCTGGGAAACCTTGGGGAGGGATCTGTGTGTGGCTTCCAGTGTTACCGTGAGACAGGCACTGGCAAGTTCTTTGCCGTCGTGGTCAGCCTCAGGCAGAACCATACATTCTGGTGTGGGGCTGTCCAGCTCATGGGCAGCTGTTCAGCTCCCGGCTGCGTGCTAAATCACTGGGACCCCAGAGGTGGCGCTGCTGAGTCACTCCAGACTCCAGCACTGGTGTGTCCTGGTGCACAGTAGTTCAGGCCAGGGGAGGCTGCTCAGCCTGAGGAAAATCCCAAACCAAGCCAGCCTGGCACAGCAGGAGAGCTCCTGACACCTGTGGGTGGACAAGACTTTGCCCTCCCCCTTATCCCTCTCCCCCGCTCCCACCCACTTGGGGGTAGGTGTCCTGTAGGGAAAGGCCTTGGGTTGCGATGTAATCCCACCCGCCCCATGATGGAAGCGGGCCTGCTCCTGCAGCCCTGGCCATGTCCCAGGAGTGTGGAAGGAAGCTGTGGGCTTCAGCAGCCCCAGCACCCCGAGAAGGATGCATGAGCTCTCTCCTGAGCTCGCAAGCAGGAAGGACAGCTGCAGCTGTGCTCCAGGTGGACTAAGAATGCTCCCCTTGGGAGTAGGAACTGAAAGCGTGGGCTAGAGGTGTGGGTCAAGTGGTAGAACGCCAGCCCAACAAGTGAGAGGCCCAGAGCTCAAACCTGGGTCAAGAAAAAAAGTGCGGCCAGCTTGGCATTGGTGGCGCTCACCTGTAATTTTAGTTACTCAGGAAGCTGAGATCAGAGGATGACGGCTTGAAGCCAGCCACAGCAGGAAAGACAGACCTTTTTTTTGGGGGGGGGGGGGGGGTCCAGTCGTGGGTCCTGAACTCTGGGCCTGGGCGCTGTCCCTCAGCTCTTCAGCTCAAGGCTAGCGCTCTACCACTTGAGCCACAGCGCCACTTCTGGCTTTTTTCTTTTTGCTTATGTGGTGCTGAGGAATCAAACCCAGGGCCTCAGGCATGCAAGGCAAGCGCTGTACCACTGAGCCACCTTCCCAACCCCGTGTCTGAGACTCATATCCAGTAAGCTACCAAAAAGCTGGAAGTGGAGCTGTGGCACTAGCTTTGAGCAACAAAGTTTAGAGATGCACCTAAGCCCCAAGTTCAAGTCCCAGGACAGGCACAAGAAAAGAAAAAAAGGGCCCAAACGGAGGATGTGGGGGCCCTGTGGGATGGAGGAGAGGTGTGGTGTGGTGGTGTCCAGCCCAGTTCAGTTTTGGTTTTTCTGGTTAGAATGGAATTGCGACCTGGGAAGAGCCTCTAAGGGCAGGAGGTGCCGGGCCCCTGGAAGACAGAGCCCGGCCCAGCGCCCCTTCCCCCTCCCCTTGAGAAGAGCCCCCCAGCTCCTGCCCAGAGTGGATGTGGGGCGGTGGGCAGACTTCCCTGGCGGGATTTGAGGTACCAGGAAGGGCAGGAGGAGGGGACAGAAGCGCAAAGCCCCGGACATGGCTTGTAGCCCTCCAGTGCAGGACAGTGCGGCTGGGGGCTGGCTCCACCAGTCTCCTAGGTAAGGCGCGGCGCCCCAGCCCACATCCTCCCGCAGACCCAGAGCACCGACACAGCTGGAAACTGACATTTTATTGAGACCTCTCCCTTAGAAATCTAGTCCAGTAGATTTTCTGCTGGGCGTGGGGGTGTGGCCTGCACTCCCCCCAGCCCCACAGCACCTCCGGTGGCTGCGGTCAGGAGAGCGGGGGCCCAGCCAGTGACACCCCAGAGGTAAAATGAATTTGTCTTAAAAAACATGAAAAAAACCACCATAGGAAACCTCAGCAGTGACCCAGCACTATCGAGATTAAATATTTAAAAAGTGATCATCAGAAAACGTCATGGAGGAGGAGCCGGCCACCTCCTGGGCAGCGTGGCAAGAGTGGCCAAGGGGCGGGGACCAGCCCCGCCCCGCCCCGCCTCACTGGAGCAGCAGCTGCAGGGCCCCGCGGAGCAGCAGCACGGCCAGCAGCACTGCGGGCAGCAGCTGCCTGCGGACCTGGCCAGGGGACACCTGCGGACCAAGGGCAGGGGTGGAGGCTCAGCCGGGCCAGGTGAGCTCGGAGAACCAGGGCGTTCTGGAGGAGGGCAGGGGAGGCGCCCCACGTCAGGGCATGGGGCGGGCAGGGTCGTGCACCGGACGCTCCAACAGAGGAGATGCAGAAGGGCCAATGGACCCGCAGCTGTGTGCGCACGCTGTCCACCCAGTGCTGCCAGGACTGGACAGACACGAACGGACACAGGCCATGCAGATGAGGGGAGGGAGGGGCAGGGACTTACCTCGAGGTGGGGGACGGGGGGTCTCCAGGCCCTGATGTGCTCCCTCAGGTGGGCGACCCCACGGATGAGGCGTCGGAGCACTCCCCGGACACCCATCTGGCTGTAGGTCAGAGCCAGGCTACAAGGCGTGGAGATGCGGCCGTTACCTGGGGAGCAGGTGCCCCCCTGTCCTCCCAGGGTCTCCCCACGGGAGAGCTGGCTTCAGAAGTGCATTCTGGTTTCTGTCCCTCGCCTGCCTACTGGCCCAGTCTACCCTCAGCCAGCCCCTCTCACACCCCAGTTCCTGTCCCCATGCCTGTCCCTGGGGAGTCAGCTGGGGACAGCCTCTGGGCTGGAGGGCTGGCGCTCCCCTGATTTTGGGGAGACACCGTCCATCAGCGTGTGGGGAACAGGGAGGCCTCCGGCCTACAGCCAAGGCCAGGGCCGAGAGTGGCGGGGCCCCTCCCCGGTGGAGAAGGCGGCAGGGCAGGGGTGGTCACCTGTGTATGGCCATCCCCGGCAGCTGGGCCAGGCGAGGACTTCGGAGGCGCTGGTCCATTTCGTCTCCGATGCACACCAGCCACAGGGCCACCTGGTTACTGTGGGGAGGGCACGGGGAGTGGGCCACAGCACCGGCGCTGCGGTGGCAGTTCTGCAGGCTGGGCACGGCCCACAGAGGCGAAGGGCACTGAGGTGGAGGGGCCAGCCGCACATCGCCTCTTCCCGCTGTCCACTGGGGACTCAGCAGAGGCCAGTTCCCTGCAGGGCAGGCTGCAGAGGCACCAAGCCGACCGCAGCCCCAGAGGCTCCTCCATGTCCAGCATCCCTGCAGAGTCTGAGGCCTGCCTAGTGGACTCGGTGGGAGCAGGGACCCCCCCCCATTGCTGAGGCTGGGCCTCACTTTACGGTCCTTCAGAGAGGGAACTCTGAACTCTGTCCCCTGGTCCTCCATTCTGAGAAAGGGCCCTGCCTGGCTTGACCGTGCCCCTGGGGGCCTGGGGTTTGTTCCCACTGCAGCCCACGGACTGCACACCAGCTCAGATCCACCACAGAGGGCCTTCGACCTCACCCTCTGGACTCCAGCCCAGCCTGCCCCGGGTTGCTCTTCTGCTAGGGCGGGGGGGGGGGGGGGGCGGGAGGCTGCCAAGCAGACAGGTGGGGGTCAGGCCTGGGGACTCAGGAAGGCGCTGCTCCACAGGCAGGAGAGGAGCCAGGGACAGAGGACACAGCACCAATCCCTGCATCCAGGACCTCAGAGACTACGGACCCCACAGCAGAAAGGCAATATCCTGACCCCTGCTGGGGGCCAGCCATGGATGGAAGAAGTAGCCATAGCTGGTCTGGCTCTTCACTTCCAGCTGGGAATGGGACGGGGAGCCTGAACTGCTTGGGTCCTTCATGAGCAAGGGGGCAACCGCGCCCCCTGCTGGGGGAGGCCTGGAGGTGGTGCCAGGGTCAGGAAGGCCCAAGGCCACATGCTTGAGCATGGCAGTGCCACCTGCAGGTGGTCCCTACCTCACCGGGAGGCCTGGTGAGGGGCCTTTGGGCCCTACCTGCCCTCCAGACAGTCCATGGGGTCCCAGACCTCTTCCCCCACAGGCTCGGTGATCGGGAAAAGCCCGGCTGCCGGCCGAGGTCCGGGCATCTGCTGGTACAGGAGGGTCTTGATGAAGAGGTCCCTGGTGACAGACCCGGCCTCCGACATCTCCTCTGGGGGAGAGAGGCAGAGTGTAACAGGACCACAGGACTAGGAAACGGGGGTGGGGGCTCCAAACACAAAACCCCAAAACAGGTACTAGGAGCTGAAGGGAAGCAGCCTCAGGAATGAAGCCTTCCCCTGGACTCCATCTCCTGCCTCTGCTCCAGCTGTGGCCAGAGATCCCAGCTGCTCTTTCCAAACAGCAACAAGAACTCACCAGACACCGGTGTGCACACCTGTCATCCCAGCTACTCAGGAGACTGACATCTGAGGCCTGTGATTCAAAGCCCACCCAGGCAGTAAAGTCTGTGAGACTTATTGCCAGAGGTGGGACAGTGGCTCAAGTGCCAGACTTGAGCACAAAGCGCTCAGGGACAGCCAAGCGTCCATGGCTGGCACACGTCTCTAATCCTAGCTACTCAGGAAGCTGAGGAGCACAGTTCAAAGCCAGCCCAGGCAAAGCTTATAAGACTCTTATTTCCAATTAACCAGGAAAAAACTG